GGAGGGGGAGGTAGACGAGGTAAAGAGGGTCAAATATGTGGTGACAGAAAGAAATCTAACTATGGGAGGTGAACACACAGTGTAAATATATATATATGACTTACTGTTGAATCATACATTTGAAACTTATTGGATTTCATTAGCCAATGTCACCATAATAAAAATAAATGAATAAATTAAAAAATATATAGATATACTCTGAATTTCCAAAAAAAAAAAAAAGTTCCATCGGACATTTGTATACGTACTGGGCACCCAGTATAAATTGTGAAGAACCTTTAACTGCCCAAGCTCTTCTCCCTCTGTTCTAGCCAGAGGCCTCTGGTATAAATTGCAGTTTCTCTAAGCCTAACTCAAAGTTTTTTAAGCCTTTCTCAAAGCTTTCCTCTGCTTTGCTGTTTAGAACTTTCATGCTGAAGAAAGTGCTCTGCCCCTCAACCCTCATCTCCTTACTCTAGGGAGGTCTAAAACACTCTTGACTGGGGCTGGTTGAGCCCTTGTTATACATATTTCCCCTCTCTTCTATAAATGATCTGGGCAGCTTGGAATTTTGAATGTATCCATTGGTTATGAAGGCTGGACACTGCGCACAAAGATTGAAAACATCATGGGAATCTGGAAAGTCTGAAATGATTAAAAGGTTCTAAAATACAGGGATCTAAGCTGGTGATGTTAGGAATCATGAAAGGTCAAAAGGAAGACAGAGCCCCTCTTCCCAGCTGCAGTGACAACTCATTACAGACTGTGGCCTGATGTGGCAGTTAGAGGACCAATGGGATTAGAGAGATCCAAGCAGAGATGTGACGAAGAGAGGTTCCTCTATAAAAGCTCTCGGAGCTGGCCTTGAGACACCACCTTGCCCATTGCCTCGGTGCCTCTGGGCACTCTGCAGTCTATGAAACCCCTAAGTCTGAGAGGCAAATGGATCTCAGGCTTCTCCCTGTTAGACCAGGACCCTAAAAGACTGTTGCCAAGTGACCCTGAAGGATGGAGAGAGAGGGCTGTCCTGATGATGATAGCAAGATCAATATCAAGGTTACCGGCCAGTAAATGGCAGAGACTAGATTCAAACACTGCTCTAATTGACTCTGAAGCAGATAATTTTCCAACTGCATTATTCTTGGAACTTAGAAACCAGGTGTTTTAGTGCGAGGCACTGAGATTTGGAGTTAATGGTAAATGCCAATGCTGTGTAATGAGGTGGGGGTGTCAGGCAAGGATGTGTGAGAAGGACATCCCCTGCTCTGGTGTGGGAATACTGACATCCCCTGGTCACCAGCTAGCCAGAGACTCCCCATCCACTCACCCTTTTGTGGATCCAGTGATAACAGCCACTTTTTCAGCCAGGGCACCGCTCCAAATTAGTCTTTTGTCGCTCATTTTTGCTGAGAGAGGGGCCAAAGAGCAACAAAGACCCTTAAACAATGAAGCCCTGAGCATTGTGGTCACTATCTGGCCTTTCTCCTCCTGGACCCAAAGCTGGGGAAGAACCTGGGAAGACAATCACATCATGAACCATGTTAAGATCTGTGTCTCCACCCATAATCCATGGGAGGGTTCCACTGAAGTCTCTGACAGATGTCCTACTATGCTTTAAACTTACCAGGAAACTGCTGAGCTGCTCATGTCCTTTCCACGACCTGTTCCCCAGAGGGGCTTCCCCGTTGTAGTGAACCTCACCAACAGAGCAGACATGGACAGCCACGGTGTCGGGCCCCTGGCAGATGCCTGAGTCATATAGCCCGACTCACCTCCATACCCCAAACAGTATTATTCTAAGGGTCACCTTTGTATTTCCCTCCACACATCCATTTTCCACGAAGAATCAGCATCGAACTTTCTTCTCAACTTTCCCAGCCTGTTGCAACCATCCTGGCCAAAGTCCTGTCACCTCCCCAGTCAGCTCCAACCTCCTTCGCCCTCGGCTCCCCACCTGAATCCACAGCATTGCCCCTTCATCAGACTTAGTAAACTTGTCTGCATTTCTGACATGCAAGTTGCTTCCCCTCATCACAAATGACTCTCATCCAACTATAGATAAAAATCCAGCCACTCCCTCCTTGTTCTAAAACTTTCTTAGGGCCTTCACCTTCACCCTTCTGACCCCCACGCCATACTGTCCAGACCCACCTGCCCAAAGATCCCATGGCACCTCATGTCATTGTAACTGTATCAGCTACACCTCATATCCACAACCACTTTCTCTCGATCCACATCTTTTTCCTAACTTTCATCACCTTCTTATGGGAGATCAAGGAACAACAATTGTCTTAGTTGGCTATGTCAGAAGCACACTTAAAAAGCTAGTAGTTTCTTTGGAAATGGCCTGGGAGGCCATGTTAGGGGAGCGGGGGGAGTGAGACAGAGGAAAAATAACCCATAAAAGGTGCATTATCAATGGAACTCTGGGCAATCATTTGAGTTTCAGAGTTACCTCAGTCAGAGGGCAAGGGTTTGGACTTAGGGTGACCAAAACTTCCCAAGACTGCAAGTTTTAGCATGGAAAGACCGACATTCTGGGAAACTTCTCAGTCCTAGGCAAACCAGAACAGTTGGTTACTCTCACAGGGGCGTATTTCCAACTCCTGTAGATCATTGGTTGAGGATTCCTCGTGGGGTGGAACAGAGAGGTGACCAGAGGGCAGAGAGAGAGCAGAGGGCCTAGGTAAGGTGGGATGATATGGTAAGGCCATAAGGTTTTAGACTTTCTCTTATAGATTAAAAAAAAAAAAAAAAAAAAGCTCATGGAGTTTTTTTTACAAATTGATAATTTCTACGTAAATAAATGATGATCACACTCAGGAAGGCATAAGCTTCATTCTAGGCCCTAATGACTAAAATAGCTAGTTGGTGTTTCTCTAGTGTTCATTTTTTGTCTTAATTCTTATTCCACTTTCTGAGTAGTCTACCCCAGTCTTTCTACCACTATTAGGTGCCTACACAAGTAGGGAATTAATATAGAAAGCTAAGTGAGCCCTTCCCAGGGAGCAAAATCATAGGGCTCTGAAAACAATTCAGTTCAGGTCTACACTTAACATAAAAGCCTTAGACAACCTTGCCCTTACTACCTTAATCTCTGGGCTTCGAAGCAAGTTCAATCTTGTTGATTTCAGGGAGTATTATAGACTGAATTGTGTTCTCCTGCCCCCAGATTCATTTATTGAGGCCTTAACCTCTACAGATTTAAAGTGTGACTGTGTTTGGAGTTGGGCCCTTTAAAGACAAGAATAAGTTCAAATAAGGCTGTCCAGGTAAACTTTATCCAATCTGACTGCTGTCCTTGTAAGAAGAGAAAACTTGAACACACAAAAGAGATGCCAAGGATGTATGCACACAAAGAAAATGTCACATAAAGAAACAATGAGAAGGTGGCTATCCACAAGCCAAAGAGAGAAAGCAAACCTGCCAATACTTTGATCTTGGACTTCCAGCCTCCAGACCTGTAAGAAATAAATTTCTGTGGTTAAGCCCCAAAGCATGTGGTATTTTCTTATGGCAACCCTGGCAAACCAATATAAAAATAAACCTCAATCACATTCGTAACACTTTACATTATTACCTGTTAATCTCCTTCAACCTTTCTCTCAACGGTAAAGGTGCTTTAAGGGTTTCAGACCAGCAAAAAGCATCCTTGGAAACAGAGATTAGAAGGGAAATCATGAACCTCAGACTCACAAATTTGGAGAGAGCAAGGGGCCTCTGGTGATGTAGATAAAATAGATTGTGCTTCCACAGTGGAATAGTATCAGAAAGTCAGTTAAATGGCAAGAAGAGGTTAAAAAAAAACAATATCTATGGTTTTCTACTCGATCCCTGATCTTCTGAGACTGATTATAGAATCACAAAATATGTGTCCCCATTTTTGGTGCAGAAAATGTGGTTACCATTGTTGACCTCCCCCTCCCATGGAGAGTGATACGACAGGGAGCAGCTGGCCTTCATCTATATTCAATCCAGGTGACATGTTTTCATATTCCCAGTCTTGGACTGTGTCTGGTATAGAGTTGACTTACAGCCATAGTTTTTAAAGACATACAATCCAAAAGAACCATAATAATACACAGACTTGTATGTAAATGCTTTCCTTCGCAAGAGGTGAACTTTAATCCCTCCTCACCCACCTCGAGGGGGAGTCTTGCTTCCAAAGAATCAGCAGCCTAAAAGGAAACAATAACAACTTTACAGTGGAAAAACCAGGCAGCCCTTTCCCTAACCGAGTGATCCAAGTTAATTTAACATCACCATGTAAGTTGTGCTGCTATCGTGTGCTCCCTGATATGATGAAATAAGAAGGACGTTTTACCTTGTGGTGTTCTTCCACCAAATATACCATCCCTGTCTAATCATGAGGAAAACATCAGACAAACCCACATTAAAGTACGATATCTTGACCAATACTCTTCAAAACTGTTAAGGTCATGAAAAATAAGACTGAGAAGAGTTCATGGTTAGAAAGAGAATAAAGAGACATGACGATTAAATGCAACGTGGTATCCTGGATTGGATCCTGGACAGTGAAAGGACTATAGTGAAAAAATTAGTGAGATATATATAAAGTAAGTAGTGTAGTTGTAATATCGTACCATTGTTACTTTCTTAGTATTAATGAATGTGCCATTGTTTTATACAGGATTTTAACATCAGGGAAAACTAGGCGAACTATCACTGCAACTTTTCAGTAAATCTAAAATCATTCCAAAATAAGAAGTTAATTCTTCAATTGACCAACTATGCACACCTTAGCGGATTTTGAGAAACTGTTTCTTAAATTTTGAATGTAGAATTTGGCAATGATTATTAAAGTTGTGAATAGTAAAATCCGTTACTATAACTTTTACAACTTGAAATTAGCTGTGCACTTAGAGGTTTTGGGTAACTCGTATGAAAATTGGCCTGTTCTTAAATTTTTGGAAATACGTTCCAGGTTCATTGTGAAAATTTTCAGACTCAATTCCAGGACAGCGGATTCACAGGAGGGCTCAGATGGAACCCTCTCACCCCTCCAGTGCCTGGCCCTGCAAGCGTCCTTCTGGCCTGGGTCTCCTAGGGTAGGCCCGCTGGCCGGTGGTGCCTCTGGCAGTAGCTGAAATTTGGCACCAGTACAGGGAATGGGGATTTGACCTGATATTTCTGGGTACAAGAGAAACAAGAAGGTTAGAACTTCCTTTGATAAGGATCTGAGTCCTGCCCTTTAAGACTCTCTATTCAAGCTCTGGCCCTCTCACTGGTGACCAGTGCCGATAAGAGGTATGTGTCTCCTAGAAGACTCTGGCCTTTCCAATCTCTTCAGCCCTTTGTCCCCATGGGGACACCTACCTGAGACTGATGGACTCCGTGCTTTTCTCTGATCCTTGAACAGAGGCCTGGAGCTCTGCTGATCACCTTAGTACTCTTGCTTTTTATAAGAGCTTCATCCTATTTACTTTTGTCTTTCAGGACACTCCCCTATCCACCCTATTCCCCACCCACAACACTCCTAAGCTCTTTTGATTGAATCACGGTAACATCTAAGGTAAATGTGATCATTGTTACCGGTAATGTCCCTGCATAGTTCCTCCTGAGGCAATATCCGCCTCCAAAGCTGCTCCAGCTAGATCCTGGTAACAAACGGTCTTGGAGGAAGACAAGGGTTCACATTCCCAGGGACAGTACAGACAAAAAGGCATGGGGTGCTGATTGCAGGAAGAGGGAGGGGACTTAGATGAGAGAATGGACAGTACATAGGCCATTAGCGTGCCTGTGTGTGTGTGCATTGCCTGACATTTAGGAAGCCATCTGCATCTGTTTGGTAAATAAATGTTTATATATGACATAGAAAAGGGAGAGGCATGTATCTCCCTAGAGGGAGCCTGGAAAAAAGTAGAGTCACTAATTGAAGTACTGAAAGCTATGGGCCATAGAAAAATATTTCAGTAGGTTTTTGTCAGATTCTATCCATTTTAGACCAAGCCACCAGTAGTACCATCTCTTGATGTATATTTGTCATGATAAATTATGTTTCTGTTTTCTGACATCTGTTCGGAAATTCTGCTTATTCTCTGCAGATATCCTGATATGGAGATCACTGTTATGCAATTTTTGAGTGCTCCAGAAATTGTTGCTAAATGACAGACTGACAGTAAACAATGGGGTTACATGAAATTTAAAAATGTGTTTATCTGATCCCTGAAAGTGCTTTCATCCTTTATAAGCCATAGACTCAGTCAATTGTGAAATATTTCAAATGAATAGAAAAAAATAGTGTAATATAGCCAATACTCACTTTTAGCAAATATTCTCAATTTCCCTATTTGCTTCATTATTTTTTAATCGGAAATGTTACAACTCAAATAGAAGCCCCTTTTTGTGCTTTTCCAACATCCTGTTCCCCTTCTCTTTACCCTCCCCAGCAGCGGCCACTGTCTTAAAGTTGTGTGCATCCTTCTTGTTCATGTTTTTAC